GATATTGCCCAGGAAATACCTCAGGCATTTGCCCTGATGCCTCCCTTTTCCCTGCATTTTCCTCTCCCCACAGCATCCAGTCACAGATGTAAGTCTGCAGACCACCTCTGACTGCCAGGCTGTCTACATTGAACACATAGGAGCACTTCCCTGTGTACCTCATGCCCCTACTTCTCTACATGATAGAGTATTGTACTCACTGAGACCATTTCAGAGCATCACTGATCGACCCTGCAGCTGAGCTCCAAATCGCCTTCTCTTTCTGGAAGCACAAAGAACAGCTCACTGGTTGCCAAGGTATGGTAAATAGGGGAGAGAAGCAGAAGGGCCTTTCTTCAGCATTCATAGTCATATTCATCCACACATTGTCCTGCAGTCTCTGGTATAGTAATCCTTCAGGAGTGAGCCAAAGGCTTCCTTGACTGAATAAAGTAGCATACCACTCCTGGTGACTCACCTGGTAAACAAAGCCAGAGTAAGGCGGTTAGGAAGGGAAAGGACGCAGAGGAGATGTGAGTATAATCTGTCTTGCTGAACGAAGTCTTATTTGCAGTGTCACACTGGGCGTGGAATGCTGTGAGTGCTGCCACAAGAGAAGAGCAGATGGGGGAGTGACAGAGCTCTCAGCAACCAGGACTAGATATAGAAATATTGAGAAGAGGCTAGAGGTGTTTTTTTTTTAAGTCAGCATGAAACAGAATTTATTCAAAAGCACACCTGAATTTCCTGAGATTTCTGAACAGATGAAGCAGGAAAGGTGCTGAGCAGTTGCTCTAAACCGTCAATAAGAGCAAATCAAACATTCATGAGTTTTGCCAGGTACATGGTTCATGCCTATAATCCCAGCCCTCTGGGAGGCTGAAGAGGAAGGATTGCTTGAGACCAGGAGTTTGAGACCAGCCTAGGCTACATAGCAAGACCTTGTCTCTACAAGAAATAAAAAAAATTTAACCAGGCATGGTGGTGTATGCCTGAAGTCCCAGCTACTAGGGAGGCTGAGGTGAAAAGATCACCTGAGCCCAAGAAGTCAAGGCTGTGGTGAGCATGCTACTGCACTACAGTCTGGGCCACAGAATAAGATCTCGACTCAGAAACAAACAGGCCATGCGTAATGGCTCACACCTATAATCCCAGCAGTTTGGGAGGTTGAAGAGAGAGGATTTCCTAACCCAGAAGTTCGAGACCAACCTGGGCAACACAGCGAGACCTTATCCCTACAATAAATCAAAAAATTAGCCAAGGATGGTGGTATGTGCCTATAGTCCCAGTTATTTGGAGGTCTGAGGTGGAAAGATGGCCTGAGTTCTGCAGGTTGAGGCTACGGTAAGCCATTATTATACGACTGCACTCCAGTCTGGGTGACAGAGGGAGGCTTAGACTAAAAAACAAGCAAACATGCATGAGTTTGAAATTAGAATACAGCCTATATAGCCTTGGGACTGATTCTTAACTAAGGTTAACATCCAGATGAGAGAGTTGACTCTTCCTTAAGCTAGCAAGACCTGAAATTGGTTGGGTGCCCCCATGGAACTAGACACATTGGCTAAGGTACATGTTTCAGTGCTTGTTTCTTCATGGTGACTTGGTTAACTGGATTGATTTGGTACCAACTCAGCAGGGAGTGAGCATGGGATAGTCTGATTACAACCAGGGCCCAGCTATTAGTTTGGTTTCTATTTTAAAACCTTTGATAGTATTTAAAATCAATGACATTAGAGTGGACTCTATAACCTGTTTGACATTAAAATTTTTTTTCAACCAGCCTACCTTAAATAAGAAAAAGGGGAGTGCTTTTCTTGCATTCAGAATGTCTGGCATATTTAAATTAATAATAGCAATCATCTTAGTCAAACCTGTGAGTGATGTGCTCTGTTTTAGAAAGGGGACCTACTACTAAGATTTGTGAGAAGAAAGGAGTATTCAGGGAATGGATACAAGGAAGGTTCCAGAAACCCTTTTTGACTTCAAGGACTCCAAGAAGGACTAAGAAAGATGTATGGGTGAGAAGCTACAGGCATGCCTTAAAGCACAAGCAGAGAAAGATGAAGCAGAGGGATGAGAGAACCAGGATGGGGAAACAGAGACAGACCCAAAGAAAGGAAGAGAGAGCGTGGTGGGTTATGGGTCATGGGCCACTCAAGGTGCTGATAACTGGATTTTTTTCCCTTACTTTAGGATCCTGGAGGCATTTGGGGCTTACAATTGAGCTGGGACTTGATGTTCTCCAAATGTTGATAGCATAAATCTGGAATCTGGCTCTTTAAAATGGCATCTGCCATTTTCCACCACCACCACTATCCCAACTCGGTTTAGTCATTTATTCAACAGATAATGTATGGAGTGTCACATACGGGGGACCCCAAAACCCCAGAATTAAATTAATAAAAATTTGTGTATTTATTCTTACATGTTTGAACTTCAGTCACCTTCAAAGTGCTCTCTGTTTGATGCAATACACCTATCAAGACGCTTTTTTCACTGCTCAAAACAGTTTTTGAGTTCATCAATTTTGATGCCTTTTAGTGCTTCTGCCATTTTTGTTTAACCTCTTTCACATCGGCAAAATGTTTCCGTTGAGGACTTTTTTTTAATCTGGGGAAACAAACAAAAAAAAGTCGCTTGGGGTAGATCAGGGGAATAGGGAGGGTGGAGCATGGGGGTCATGCCATTTTTGGTCAAAAGCTGCTGAACACTCAGCATGGTGTGAGCAGGTGCTGAGGTAAATCACCCACCATGAAATGGACAAAAGCGTTGAGACTCTCCCCCCTCCCCTTCCCCCCAAAATTCACTGAAGCTAAATGACGCAGACTCTCACAACAACACTAGCTGCTACACTGATGCTGATGGGTTCCTAGAACACTTTCCTAGCAGGGGAGGCCTGTACTACAAGGGGCTTGCCCTCCAAAAGATAATTCTGGTTTTTTGGGGGTTCTCCCTCATATTTGCATATCAGTGAAGGAAACAGATAAAAATCTCTTCTGTTGTAAACTTTACATTCAATAGGGGGAGGAAGATAATAAACACATAATAGAGGATAATTTCAGATCATGTTAAATGTTATGAAGAAAACAGGAATATGTGATAGAATGACACCCAGTGCATGTGTGTATGCACATAAGTACACTAATGCAGTCTGGATACTAAGAGAAGGCATCACTAAGGAGGCGACGTTTGAGCAGAGACTTGAATGACAAGAAAAAGATAATCAAAGACTTTGGGGAACAACGTTTATGACATAGAGAAGAACAAGTGCAAAGTCTCTGAGGCAGGCTTTGGAGGAACAGCAGGAAGGCAAGGATAGCTACAGAATACTGAATGAGGAAAAGGAGGTAGGAGATAATGTCAGAGAGATGGGTAGTGGTTGGATAAGCTAGAACTCTATAGGTTTTGGAAATAATTTTATTCTGAGATCAATGGGAAGCCACTGTTATGTTTTAAACAAGAGTGTTCCATGATATGGTGTATGTTTATGTTTTTAAAAGATCCCTCCATTTACTTTGTGAGGAATGAATTTTAAGAGGGAAAGACTAGAGACAGGAAGACCACCTTGTAAGCTATTGGAAAAGAACAGGCAAGAGATAATGGTGACTTGGGCTAAGGCGATGATAGTTGTAGGTGGATATGGGCACATATGGGATATGTTGTGAATGCACATTTGTCAGGGCTGCCAGATGAATTACGTATGAGGTATGAGGGAAAGGGGAGAGTCACTGATGAGTCTGTGTATCTGGGTCACTTGTGGTACATTTACATTTACTGAGGTAGGAAAATTAACTACATTAGTAGTGAGGTTTTTTATTTTGGATGAGTGGAAGGATCAAGAGTACAGTTTTGGACATATTAAAGTTGGGATGTATATTAAGAATCTCTAAGAAAAAATCAGTTAGGCAACTACTATATGAATTTGGAAATCAGTAGGGAAGTCAGAGCTGGAATATAAATTGGGGAGTTGTCATTTAAAATTACATGGTTGGATAAAAGTGACTGAGGGTTAGAAGGTAGAGAAGAGGAGAGAGTTGACTGGGACCAAGTCCTGGGTAATACCTTCATTTAGAGGTCGAGCTAAGGAGAGTAACAAGCAAAGGATACTGGCAACAGTAGCTGACTGAGGTAGGAGGAAAACGAGGATGGTGTCCTGGATGCTAACAGAAAATAATATTTCATGAAAGAGGGATTGTATTTTCCAAAGATGACTATAACAACAACTTTTATACTACATGCTTTAGTTACAGTGTGAGCTTGTACCTTTGAATCTGGGCAGACTTTTGTGATTGCTGTGAGCAATCACATTATGTCTGAGATTAGGTCATAAAATGTAATTCAGATTTTGTTGGACTTTTTGTTCTCTAGGAACATAAGCCTTTGGAGACCTGAGCCACCACATCAGAAGTCTGGTGATCCCAACATGACGATGCTGGAGAAACCACATGAAGAGACTTCATAGAAATATGGAGAGATGTCCAAGGAATTCAGATATTTTAGTCCCGGCTATTTGAGCCTCTCCAGAGCAGGCACCAGACAAATGAATGAGCAATCCTTCAGATGATTCTAGATCCAGACATCAATCTGACTGCAACTGTGTAGGGCATGAGAACTATTGAGTTGTTTCCAAATAACTGACTCTCAGAAATTGAGAAGGATAATATGTGACTGTTGGTTTAGGCATCTAAGTTTAGGGTGATCTTTTTAAAATGCAGAAACAGCTAATCAGAACATGGATGAAGAGGAAAAAAATGTCTATTGGATTTCACAACATGGAGATAATTGATTAGGAAGAGCTGATTCAGTGGAGTACACACATGGAAGCCCAAGTGGAGTGGATTGAGAAGAGAATGGTAAATGAGGAAGTAGAAACAATGATAGTAAATGATTCTTTCAAGATTTTGGTTAAGGGGAGTAGAGACATGGCACAGGAGTTAGAAGGATCAAGGGAAGTTTTTTCTTTTTCTGTTCTTTTTTTTTAAAATAGAGACAAGTCTGTCTCTGTTGCCCAGGCTAGAGTGCAGTGGCATGATCATGGCTCACTGAAGTTTCAAACTCCTGGGCTCAAACGATCTTCTCACCTTAGCCTTCTGAGTAGCTAGGGCTACAGATATACACCACCATGCCTGGATAATTTATTTTTATTTGTACAGATGAGATCTTGTTATGTTGCCTAGACTGGTCTTGAACTCCTGGGCTTAAGCAATCTTCCTGCCTTGGCCTCCCAAAGTGCTGTGATTGCAAGCATGAACCAGCATCCCTGGCCAGGTTTTTCTTTTTTTAAAATGGCAGATCCTTGAGCATATTTATGTGATAATGGAGAAAACTCCAAAGAAATAGAAATAATATGAGAGGAAATGACTCAATTCTTGGACTATTACTTGTATTATTATAATACCTTCCGGAAGGGTCTGTTGCTGTTTTTTTTCCCCCAGTCTGCTTTGTTTTGTATACTATTACTAAATTTTTCTGGATTCACATACACATACCCTGTTAAAACAAAGCAAATCATCTTTGGATGGTTCTCTATTTCCCTGCACATCAAGTCAGAATTCCAGAGCGCCGAGCAGCTGGACCACATCCAGCGGAACAAGGCAGTGGCCTTGCTCAGACTGGCGGGCCACAACATGCCCGTGGGCTTCAGGGAGAGCTGGAAGAAGCCCCTCGTCGGCGAATTCAGGAAGCTGTACTTCATCCAGCTCATGGGATTTGTTGCAGAAGAAAGAAAACGCCACACTGTTTATCCACCCCACACCAAGTCTTCACCTGGACCCAAATGTGTGGCATAAGAGACATGAAAGTTGTCATTCTGGGACAGGATCCATATCATGCACCCAGTCAAGCTCATGGGCTCTGCTTTAGTGTTCAAAGACCTGTTCCACCTCTGCCCAGTTTGGAGAACATTTATAAAGAGCATCTACAGATATAGATGGTTTTGTTCATCCCGGCCATGGAGATTTGTCTGGGTGGGCCAAACAAGGTGTTCTTCTATTCAATGCTGTCCTCACTGTTCGGACCCATCAAGCCAATTCTCATAAGGAGAGAGGCTGGGAGCAATTTACTGATGCAGTGGTATACTGGCTGAATAAGAACTCAAATGGCCTTGTCTTCTTGCTTCGGGACTCTTATGCTCTGAAGAAGGGCAGTGCCATTGATAGGAAGCGGCATCATGTCCTGCAGACAGCTCATCCCTCCCCACTGTCTGTGTATAGGGGGTTCTTTGGGTGTAGACACTTCTCTAAGACCAGTAAGCTGCTGCAGAAGTCCGGCAAGAAGCCTATCGACTGGAAGGAGCTGTGATCCTCACCTGAGGGGGGGTGGGGTCCATTGGTGGATTTTGAGAAACTGCTGTTCAAGTGTTTGTCAGTCACGAGGTTGAGTGGAAGATCTCCCTGTTAAATCTTGAGTGCTCTGTGTAAAGGGGAAGAGCAACCAGGCTGCCCAGGAATGGCAGCTTTATTCCGCCAGACACATCAGAGGCCACTCATGGACCAAATGCCTTTTTCTGTGATGGGGCTTCAGCCTAAGATATGCAAACTTCTTAGAAAACAGGGGAGATCTCACACTTGGCTCTCTCCACATCCCTTAGCGTTATGACTGAAGTGAGGAAGTGCGCCTTTTGGAACAGCCACAGTTTGGTGTCTGCTGCTACCGTGGGTGATCTGAAAGGCTCCCCCATTCCCAGCTCAGCAGACACTCCAGCCTTTGCCAGGTACACTGACCTCTTGACGCCCATGTTGTGGAGCTGGACAGGGAAACCAGGCCCGGGCCCGGAAGTGCGTCGCTTGTACAAAGCGGGGAGGGGGTGGGGTAGCCTACCAAAGATTTTAATTTAATTTTTGAAAACTTAATTGTTATTAAAAGCCCTTGCACAAATTAATCCATTATTAATTCTAATTTCAGTGTCTATCTAGTTGCTAATGGGAAGAACTGGTATCATGCCTTATACAGGTTGCATCTAGACCTACCTGTGTATGTTAAGAGTAATAAATATCGTTTAATGTTACACAATATTTCCAGCAGCCATGTACAATTGTTGCAAACACTGTGCTAATTCATTAATACTTCTGAAACCATGAATTGGGACACTTGCACGGGAAGCAAGAAAATGGATGATTGGCATTACTTGCAAGAATCTACTACATTCACATGGACAATTAATTTGACAACTAATTTGTCTTTTCTCTTTCCAATGTGTTTCTCTTGCCCAAATCATCCCCATATGCTCAGACATTGTCAGTCTTCAAAGTTGGCAGAGGTGCAATTCCCAAACAATGGCATTCAGACTCCGTAGCCTTTTGTTTTGAGAACACAGGGCAAGAGATACAGAAATCATTGCCTGAGCAGCATTAGTCATGAGAGTGGGAGTTTAGGGTATAGATCGAACTGTGACAGTGCTGAATACTGAATCTGTAGTGATGGATTGTTAAGTATACTTTGATAAATGTAATATGTGTGAGTGTGTGTGTGTTAGTGATGTGCATACTCTGCTAAAGTATGAGGTCCTGGCTAGGTTCCCTCTTGTCCAGAATTAAGAGTGGAGCTGATCAGAACATTTATCATAGGCAATGTTTCTTTGCCTATATATCTCCCCCACTTGATCATGAGCTGCTCAAGGGGTATATTCATATCTTATTTCATGTCTCTATTTCAGCCCTTCTATCACAGTTCTGAGTTCAGGCCACCATCATCTCTTACCTGAATCGCTGCAACAGTCCATCAACTGGTCTCCATGTTTGCCTTCTCCAAGCAATACTCCACATTCTGGCTTCCACAGGGACATTTTTAAGAAGTACAACCTCTGAGAAAAAAGCATTAGAGCTTCTATTTGTGTTTTTATTTTTTTATTCATATGTTTTTATTTGTTGTTTAATTTTTATATTTGTGTTTGCTATCGTGCATAATATATTAGTATCGTAACACTTATATGTAATATACAAATTAATAGATGCCTATGTAAATCAGAGATGCAAGTGTAAATTCTTTGCTGTCAAGAGAATAAGATAGCAAGAGTGCTAGAGATAAGTGGTCTCTCGATCATGTTTGAGCTCCTTAGCATGGCAATGTAGGCCCTGCCTGATCTATTCCCACCTCCTCTCTCATCAAGAGCAGGAGCAAACCCTGGGGAGCATAGAGGGCAGGTGATGGAAGTAATTATGATCCAGAAGGCAGAATACAGTACAAAAGGACTTGGCAGGTAGTAATCCTTGGTTGTCCTCTGTGTCAGGAGCTTCAATGCAAAGTTGCACAGATGTCTTGACAGGTGGGTGGAGCATGGGTGACAGGAATCCAGGTGCAGATTCTAGAAGTACAGGCAGGCTGGCCGTTGGCCATCATCAAGGAAATCTGTCAGGACGTAGCAGGCCCCACGCTTAGACTGGACTGGGGCTTGAGGTCAGGACTAGAATCCCTGGGAAGGCGAGGACTAGCAAGAACAAGACAGTGCCCCGTTGCTTGTACTGGGCTTAAGGGCAAAGAGAAAAAGGCAGTAGTGAGAACTGAGGAAGGACCCTAGGGGCAGCTGTGTCACAGGAGTAGGAGGACTGACTGGTTTGCAAAACAGGCCTAAGGTTAGGGCTGACCCAGCAGCAAGGGTGACCTGAGGTAGAGTCCCAGAGTGCTGGGAAGATATGACTGATAATCCTCAGTCTTATGGGCAGGGTGAACTGTAGGACCCGAGGCAGAGCTGAACCTGCAGTAAGGGGTGGGTGACCTCCAGAAAGCAGCTCCAGTCGTGGGCAAGGAAGAAGCAGAAAATGAGGACAAGATAGTGCCTGATCCCTACATTGTTATCTAAGACTGGCATTCAGATTATTTTACAATATGTCCCCATGATATTAGTAATAGCTAATACCTGTTGAGCACTGTCTATGTGCCAGCCATTGCTCCAAGTTTTATGTATTAAGTTGTTGAATCCTCAAAACAATCTTATGATGATTTTACTACTGTTACCATTCTCAAGATGAGGAGATTGAGGCACAGAGATTTGATACTGTAGCCAAGATTACACAGTCAGGAAGTAGAGGAGCTAAGATTCACACAGAGACTGTATGGCACTAAAGTCCATGTTCTTAGCCACTGCATGATGCTGCTTCTCCACGTAGCAAGCCAGCCTTCCTTCCCATCCTAACTTTTCATATACCTGATGCCATTGCCAAACTGGGCTTCTCACTGTCTCCCAAATATGTTTTGTGCCTTTCTTCCTGAGGGCCTTCCCATCACTGATTCTTCCCCCCTATAATATGACTGAAACACCCTTCTCGTTGCTCTCAATTTAGCCAAATTACACTTGTACTCTAGGTCAAAGCTCAGGTCTTCTTTTTCCTGACCTTATTCACTAGATTACCTGAGCTAATTGTTGAGCTGTGGCTTTGCGGGACTAGCAGCTAATTGGAGCTTAAAGGCCAGAGTTTTAGTTGCAACTCTGGCACCCACAGCTGTGGGGCACTAGGGTACTCTCTACCTGAATGATGTGTGTGTGTGTGTGTGTGTGTGTGTGTGTGTGTGTGTGTGTGTGTGTGTGTATTTAAAATAACAAGACTGCCTGGAAGTTGGTCCTGTGAAAGGCTTTGTTGCCATATTAGGGAAGGGGGCTTTCCCAAAGAGATTTGCCTCTGAATGAATACAGTGCAGAGAGGGAGCCTCTCGAGCATACTGGGGAGAGATTAGATTTAGACTGGGCTTTCTCTGTTGTTGATTTCAGACAACGGCATGTTTCTACTCCCTCAGGAGTGTTGTCTCTGGGATGGCGTCATTTGTACTGGTTCCCAATAATCTTTTCAGAGTCTGAAAAGATTACTGACTGGCAATAGAGAGATTGTTTGGCAAGTGAACGCTGGGACAATTACTAAACATAGAGTACGCAATACAAGTAAAGAGCAACTGAAACTAGTGGGGGTGGGTGGCAGGGGCCAGGAGGCAAACAAGGAAGAATTCAAGAAAGGATAGTGGCACTAATTGTGCCCACTCCTTTTGGAAAAATGATCGTGCCATCTTCAGGGCTCTTTAGGGACCCAGGAGGTTTCGTATAAAAGGGAATCAAAAGTCAACCAGTCACGGTTCTTCTTCCTTCTCCCCCTTCTTCTTCTTCTTCCTCCTCTTCCTCTTCTTCCTTCTACCTTCTTCTTTCTTCTTTTTTTTCTTTTTTAGGCAGGGATTCACTCTATTGCCTAGGCTGGAGTGCAGTAGCGTAATCCTGGCTCACTGCAGCCGCGACCTCCAGGGCTCAAGCGATCCTTCTGCCTCAGCCTTCTGAGTACCTGGGACTACGGGCGTGTACCACCATGCCCAGCTAATTTTTGTATTTTTTTGCAGAGATGAGGTCTCACTATGCTGTCCAGGCTGATCTAGAACTTCTGGACTCCAGCAATTCTGCAGCCTTGAAAAGTCACACTTCTAGCCTCATTGTTTCACCTCCTTGTAGACCCCAATTCTCTTCATGGACTTTATCTGGCAATCAGATAAATTTTGGTTTTTCAGGCACACATGTTCTGTGGGAACAGGGCCAGCAGATCTTCCCTAGATAAATTGTGTGATTTAAAGAGTTCCCTAACTCCCCTCCAAGCCTGTGAACTGATTAAGGCAGCATGATCTCTTTACTACTATATTTGCCTCATAATATGCCCAGGACATAGTAAGGGATTATTGAATATCTGTTGAATAAATGAATGGATACTGTATGTCTGGCTTATAAGTGTTTCTTCTAAGAGAAAAGAACTATGGAGAAATAGATTTTATTGAGTGGGTGATGTAGACAATGGGAACTCAGCATAAGGTAGGGGCACCAGGCCAAAGGAGTCATCAACTTAAGTTCTACCACTACGACAGAAGTGTACTATATGATCTACTAGGTGTTTATATTTATTTTTTTATTATGAAGATGCGGGGTACAATTCAGTGTTAGGTATACAAACGTTGATCATGCAGGTACCCTTGTTGATGAGGTATGCCCCTCCCTCCCCTAG